TTCACAACCAACCCAATCCAACTCCAACCAGATTGCTTTCTTTAATCTAGATTTGATTAATAGTCTATATATGTTGATAGAAAAAACTCGAAAAAATGAGCGGAGTGAGTTGAGATAAAGAAGAGACTTTGGATAATAAGTTAATAATCGAGCTCGTATCCAAACATCAAAATGAATTCTGAAAAGGATGAGCATGATGGAGCTCTAACAAATCTAAATATCGACGAGTTTTGGCTCAAACATCGAGACGAACTTTGGGTTTCTAACCCTCCAAAAGTTCAATAGGTCGATCAAAAGTGATATGTGGAAATCACTACAAAGGGAGTAAGATTCGGATTAGTTTGTTGATCGAATATCTCAAGGCAATAACATTGTTTGAAATTCGAATAACTTCACAAGCAAGATTGATCATGTCTAACTTGAATAATTCTTGTTGATCAAATATCTCAACGCAAGAACACTTGTTTGAGATTCGAATCACTCCACAAGCAAGATTGATCATGTAGAGCTTGAATGATTCTACATGCAACCTAAACTACATGAAATTGCAAAAAGAAACTTAGTCATTGGTTAAAGAAAAGCACATATACTTTTTTTACTACATTTTCAAGTCTACTTACAAATAAACATACATGGCTTTATATAGCTTCAAAATGAAACTATTAAAGATATTACAAGAGTTTAACATTCATACTTTACGACCATAATTAATAAATGAAACCTAAATAAATAAAATGACTTAAAATACATTAATGAAATACAACAACTTTAAATTAATTGTAATCCACCCAAAATTTATAACAATAAAACTTAGTTCTTCTTCAATATGTCATGAATTTAAATATATTTTGATAATTTCAATAGCATTTTGTTCACATCTTCATTCACATCTTCACGGAAGTATATTGTATGATTGATGTCTCTTGGTTCATATCAAAAAACTTCAAGACAAAGTGATTTCTCTTGACTGTCATTTTAGACATTGTGAGAGACGTTGCTTTTCTTGAAGAGATTCGTATCATCGAGCTAAACAAATTTTCTTCAAACCACCAACCTTGTATGCCCCATATACTCTTTGTTTGCTGTATTGTCTTCAAAAGAATGCCCATGTGAGCATGTCAACTCAACACGCTCTCTTTTATCTATGTATTCTTCTTGCTCTTCTTCTTCTTCTTGTTCCATCTCCCATGCTGCTTGAATCCAAGCTTTCATTTAGGCCCCCCCCCCCCTTCCTTTTGGCCCCATTCATTGACTCTCGTTCTTTACTCTTCTCTCCCTTTTGGTTTTAAGGTCATTCGAGTCATCAATATCAATACGGTCATTTTGTTTGGAGGGTCTACAAAAGGTTTTAAAGCTCAACTTGCTTATGTTTTGTTTTGGCGTCTTCTTTGTGGGATGATGTCAGATGAGGATCATGTTTGTGTGATGTTTGGGTAAAATAGAAGTATATGAATTGTAACGACTCTAAATTTCCACGTATCTAAAGTCGTCACTAACGTCTCATGCTCATCTCTAAGGTAGAATATAACTCTAAGAATGCTCATCTTTATTAGCGGAAAAATTTAAAACTTCAGAATATGTTAAAACATTAGAAAACACTGTCGAACTTACGTGTTTCAAACATCATGCTGGAGTTCAAAAAATTAGATAAAACAATTACAAATTAAATAATTAAAATAAATGAAATGCAAACACCCTATCCTAACATAGACTAGGAATTTTAAATATACAACTATTCTATGCACGCGCCACAGTCTCTAATCACGATGCCGCCGTCAACAGTACATGGGCGAGTTGCCTTTACCTAAAAAACAATATGGCACACGGCCTGAGTATTTCGAGAAATACTCAGTAAGTGACCCCACTATAGGGGCCATGCTAATGCAAACACATGCAATCATGAATTAGGGACCTATCTCTAATCATCTTAAGGGTAGCCTTCAGTCTTGGACAAATTGGATGGGTAGTACTTCCCTACACACGACTCACACGTGCGAGTGTGAATCCCCAGGGCGCTCGCACACCCCCTAGACCCTCTAGTCAAGCTAATCTGTAGCAACGTCCGGAGGTCAGCGGAACCGCATAGTGTCATGCGCCTCATGAACACTCTCATTTGCGTGCATTCGCACTTGTGCGCATTCGCGCTCATCATACGGTGCGCGTCCGCACTCATCATCTCTAGGGGAAGTAGTCCTATGCTTACGAACATACAATATGCATGAGGTCCCTCTAAGTCCAATTATACATCTCTTCTGACACAACCCTCTAGTCTCGTCTCTTGTTTACACTATGTAACACGTGCTCGTGAATATTTACATTAATATCATTTTCATACTCTTAGGGTTGTGTCCTATGTCGATCTAACGACATGATGCAATATGGCAAACAACATCATAAGGCATGTTCGACATGGAAAACATCATCATGTTAATAACATCGTCATGCATACATCATACTCATCATAGAAGCCATTAAGTGCATCACATATAACATGTACATCATGCATCAAAATATAAATAATGTACATTTAACATACATCACATCACAACACATTATCATAATTCAAACAATCTTTAGCCTATCGTATAATAAGACCACTTACTTGGTTGGCCTTAGCTGGAGTACTCCCTAATTTAATTAACGTAAGCTCCCGTTCATCGAGAGTTACTCCAAATGTTGCCAGAGTTCGCTTCCTATCACACCGTTCTTCATCTTTTGTTAGTATTTCACATCTTAATTAATAATCTAACTAACAATATGAAATACGACTCTAAAACGACCTTAGTAAAAATCGAATTCCATGTTTTAATTGTTTCTAAATTGTATTGGGTAATAAACTTCATGCTATTTGGATCATTCACTTCAAAGATGATTTGTAATAATATTTATTTAATTGGTACAAATTATAATAATTTCTCATATTTTTCATTTTCATTCTCCCCTCTTTTCTTTTTTTCCTAAAAGTATAGTAATTATGTTACTTGCCATTTTCAATGGAATCTGATTTTCATTTCTCTCCTTAAAAATGTCTATGCAATTAACCGTCCTTTTAAATCAATTTAATTTAATTTTCTTTCTTAAAATTTTCCTTTTCTAATTCTATTTTCATATTTAATTCTTTAATTCTTTTGAGCCGTTTAATTACTAGAGCTTTGTTATTTCCAACCATTCTATTAGAAGATTCTATTGATTTTGTTGTTTCTAAATCTTTCTCTCTTTCCAGTATTTTTTTTTTTATCTCTTTGATTTAGAAATCTCTTTCTTGGTATTTCTTCTCCTGCCAAATTTTAATGGACTTTTTTTAGTTAAGATATCATAATTTCTAACTCACATCTAAATAATGGCAACATATTAACATCCTTAGAAAAAGGAAAAAGGTAAATCTGACTAACCTTTTTCAATGACATCTCTCTTACATAATTTGCCTAACCATCACTCCATTATCTGCCTTTCTTCTTCCGAGAAAATCTTTTCTTTCTTTTTTTGTTTTGCTTGAATTATTGATACAAGATGAAAGAGGTATTTTAGAGTAGGGTAGAGAGATTAAAGGAGTTGTGGTTAGTTATTTTTTTCTTTTTCTTTATTTTATTATTATTATTATTATTATTATTATTATTATTATATAACCTAACGGGGCGTTACATGAATAAAGCGAGACTACATTTATTGATGAACATATTTTTGTGATGTTCGAATAAAATAGAAGTACATGAATGAAGCTAGACTACATCCAAATAAGAGCCATGAAATGAGAGCATTTGTGTTACATTTTCCCTTCTTCAAGCTACCTAAAAGTTGAGTAATAATGTAAAAAAAAAAAAAAAAAAAATCGTCTAATTTTTTCCTTATTTGAATTGGACTTTCGTATTTTGAATTGGGCTGAAGCAATAATGGAGCTCATGGGGACAAGTTATATAACGAGTGAACTGGTATATATGATCTCACGAGACCTATCCTGAATGGAGTTGAGAATCTCTATTTAAATACAAAAGGAGGAATGGGTGGAGAGAAATTCTTATTTGTTAGCTAAATGGGACCAAGGATAGAAATCGAACGGCCAGTAAACTTTATATATGTGTTGTAGCATATTATACTATAATATTAAAATTTGAGTTTTTAGACATTAGGTTAATCGTTATATTAGAAATTATATTGAAAAATATAAATTAACCTTTAAAAAATGATTTAGAATGAATTTTTTAAATTAAAATATATAAAAAGACTGAAATTTTTTTCCATAGGGTACCCGATCTCTGTAAATACGAAAAATTCGTGCATTGATCACCGTAAAAATAAATTTTTACTCCTAAGCACAGTTTGGATTAGAGCGAATTCTCTCTTAAGAACCCTAAACCCAATTTTCTTTTTTTCTTTTTTTCTCGGGAATAATTCAAACCCCTAGTTAGGCAAGGAGGGTCAAAAGGACCAATTTAGTCCCTCGGGGTTGACTTTGACCGATTTTTCCAAATTTTTACTATTTTATTCTATATTTTCTTGAGTTCCAATTATTTAAGCATTTTTCTTCAACCTAATCTTGAATTTAGTCTCTAAAATCCTCAATAAAATGTTAGAATCGACTTTAAAATGAAAAAGATAATTTTTTAATTTCTGATCGAACTCGAGTGTTCCAACAAAAAGAGTTTAAGTTAAGATAATAAATAATGTTTGCACTACAACAACTAATCAATAGCTTACAAAAAACGCTGTCATAGATCTTTTATAACGCTTTGACAACTCATATTATTAAAAGTCATAAACTTTTTATACTCTAGTTATAATAAATCCTATAATAGAATATGAAAATATAATTGTATACAAGGATACGATAATATTTTATAACATTTTTATCAAAATTATAATATATTAATATAGCTAAAATATTGTATTAACGTAAGTATTGCTATATCATTTTCAGTCATAAAATGTAATTTGTGGGCATGCACAATCTCATATTCCTATCAGTTCGAGTACTAACATAACTCGAGTAGAACGTCACTGTACCCAAAATAAAATATCAAATCTTTAATTTTATAAAACGCAATATATAAAAAGGGACCGATATATTATATGTAGCAGATACACACCCAAATGTTTGAAATATATATACGTAATTATGTTAAGTCCATCATGCTTCATAGATTGTCCAAAGCACACTCCTTTGGGGTTTGAGGGTAACGAGATTTGTCGGTGCAATAGTCATAGATCATGTGATTGGCTTTCACCCATTGGTAGTTCTTGGCTTGCGTAGGGCTTAGTGCCCTGTAGGCAGGCCCTTCCCACCAGTTGTAGGGGTTCGAGGGGCAGCTCGATGGCCCTGGGACAGGGCATCCCTCAATGTCGAAGTCTTTGTAATAAGCATAGAATGGGGCTTTCCTCCAATCAATTTTCTCCAACCCACCTCTTGTGGCCCAGTCGTCGGCTTCCCATAGCGTCGAATACACTCCCATTGGCTGTTGCTTTGGGTATGGGATCCCTTTGGCTTCGTTGTTCTTGTATACCCTTATGGGGATCTCATCCACTGCGAAGCTGCATACAAATTAGAATATATGTATCAACAAAAACCCGATTTTGTCCAATATACCTAACATATTAGTCTAAGTCCACCGCTAGCAAATATTGTCGGTCTTAAAACGTGTTTGTTAGATAAATTTCCACACTCATGTAAAGAATGCACTCGTTCCTTTCTCCAATCGATGTGAGATCTCATAATCCACCCCCTTCGAGGTCTAGCGCCCTCGTTGGCATACTGGATATCGGCTGATGTTTGGCTTTGATACCATTTGTAACAACCGGGTACAGCTAGTAGATATTATCTTGTTTGGGCTTTACTTTTCGGGCTTCCCCTAAAAAATTTTAAAACAGTCTGATATAGAGAGGTTTCCACATCCTTGTAAAGAATGCACTCGTTCCTCTTTGCAATCGATGTGGAATCTCACAATCCACCCCTTTGAGGTCCAGTGCCCTTGTTGGCATACTGAATACCGACTGGTGTTTGGCTCTGATAACATTTGTAACAGCCCGCTTACAGCTAGTAGATATTATCCTGTTTGAACTTTACTTTTCGTGCTTCTCCTCAAAAATTTTAAAACAGGATAGGGAGAGGTTTCCACACCGTCGTAAAAAATGCCTCCAACCAATTTGACATCTCATATCAATTATGAATCAATCAAAACTCTTAAACACCTTTCTCAATAATTATTTTAAAAGCTATAACAATCCAAAACAAAGCCTATATATTCATAACTTACATGATTATCGAATGAGTCCACATAATTGAATAAGTATGAAAATCAGCTGCAGGGTCGAACCAAAGGTTCACTCTTTGCTCTCTGTCCCCCTTTCCATGAGCATAGATGTTTGTTTGAACTGTATAAGGTTGTCCTGTCCTATTTCCCAAGAATTCAAAGTCTAATTCATCACGTATGGTGTCTGTGTCTGAGTTCATCTGCAATGAAACATTATGATTTGATTTGATTCTATTTCAACTAATGTAATACCAAAACTAAGCCAATTTCTCTATGTTTAATGATGACTTACGTAAAAGGCAGTGACTGTTCCCGCAGAGTCACCAGGGACGAGTTTGATCTTCATACTCACTTTTCCGAACAAGTATTGACGTTTTGAAGCAAACCCACATCCTTAAAATCATCAAAATTCAATCCTTAAAATTATGTTCGTACGAATGACATGCTCACATGTATGACGGTTGAAGTATTCTATATCGTATCAGCTTAAGTTTTTCGATTGATCGATAGTTTAAAACGTGACTATACCTGAACTTTGGTCGAGAACGAGTTGAATTCCCCTTCCACCGTCAAGTTGCCTAACATGGTTATCCGCCCACGTGACCCTAAAGTCCTCAAGGAATGTCGCGGGCCGTCCTGAAACGGCGACGAACATTATAACAAAACACAAGGAAACTAAGGCAATGCCATTGAAATTGCTCAAACCCATGGCTATGAAGAGATAAAACTTTGATTGTAATATGGGAAAAGAAGAAATAATGAGAGGGTTTTATAGATACGAAAAGGGAAGTAACTTGGTGAGCGAGGTTTGGATACAGCTAATAAGAAGGCGTAATTAGGGCCTACTTCAGTGATACTACTGTTTGTAATGACCTTCTTCCCTGCTTCTTCATTCCTTTCAATACAGCTATGTCAATTGATTCATTTAGAGGAATAGTAGAACTTTATGTCTCTAACGCTCTATATTCAAGATTCAGATCAGAATTTAAAATCTAGATTTGGCATCGAATGGGTTCGATATTCTCCTATTTGCTACATGGTCATATTAGAATTTGGAATCCAGGTTCGACACCTGATGATCCCGACATTCCCCTACATCTCCTCCAACATGATCAGTCTACCACTAACAAATATTGTATTGTCTTAGCTTTTCCTTTCGGACTTTTCTCAAAGTTTTTAAAACATATCTCCTAGGGAGAGGTTTCCACGCCCTTACAAAGAATGTTTCGTTCCCTCTCCAACCGATGTAGGATCTCACAATCCACCCTCTTCGAGGCCCAACATCCTAACTAACATTCGTTGGCCTCTTCGATCAATGTGGGGTCTCACTCGTAAAAATCAGAAAAGTGGCTCGGATCTCTCTAGATAGAAATGAAAGGAAAATGGAGATGAATTTGGTAGACAAATGGAGATGTGTAAACAACCGAATTAAATGGGAAGTATAAATATGGCAAAAAGGGACAAGAAAAGGAACATAGAATTGGACCAATATGTTGTTGACTCTCACAAATGGCATGGTCCATAAGCTTTCTAATCCACACCAAATAACTTAATAGTTTAAAGAGATTTAACCCATAGTCCTACGTATCATCTTCTCTTAATTTCATATCCATAAACAATCCCACATGGGTTGGCCACCCCCTTATAACTCTCCCCATTAACACCCAAACAACCACCTCTCAAATCCTACTTTTAGATCCAAAAACAATGAGCAACTTCATAGGAAGAGAAAAAAAATGGTAGCATCAACTTCGCCCTCAGTCTCATGGTTTTAAAATGCGTATAAGAAATGATTCGATCCCCTTTCTAATCTCGACTCTTCAAAATTTAGCATCGTAGGCTCTGAATAAAATTTTAGAAGTCTAGAAAAATAAATAGGTACCTTTTGAGCTTGGGCCTTGTACATATCTAAGTCATATGCTCTCTTAGACTAGCATCTAGGTTCAACTTGCTCACCCAGACTCGACTTAGGGTTTTAATTCTAGAACTTCTGTTAAGATTGCACAACAACACACACACTCGATCTAGATGAACACAAAAAAATGCAAGGAGAATATTGGCTAAAGGTTTATATTGATGACTTCAGGCATGTACATTATAAAAAAATACCGAGAATACCATTTTCAAAGCTCTGTCTGAGCGGATATATGTATGGTTTAGCTTACTGCATATAGCTTTACTAGATATAATCATTTACTGTATATAACTATCTACCATATATAGATTTAGGAGATATAACTTTCTGCTCACAATTTACTTTATAGGTCATTTATCGAATATAGCTTTACTATTAAGCTTTGCATGCTACTTAATCTAACAACTTCATAGTTTCTCATCTTTTAGCTCTATTGGAACACATCAATCTCATGGAGATATCTAAAAGTTCTAAGACAATCTGATTAGCTATTTACTCGTTCCTTCATTCATAATCAACATATATATCATTGGCACCTGAGGCACGACCTCATCGTGGTTTCAACTCATAATCTTATCATACAATTACGAAAAATATCTATTATGATAAATTCTTGATTATGAATTAGTTAGTGACTCTCAAATAAGTTCCATAATATCATCATCAAGGAGACTGGGACTCTTGTGCATGTCAACTATCACATACTTATGAAGTCTCTTGCCTTCGTCCAAACAATTTCACAACCAACAAAAGCCAGAGAAACCCTAATTGCTCCCACACGATATTCATATGGTACCGTAAGGTTCATACATCTAAGAGCAATACCCCATTCTTTTAAAAATGGTGATATATATACAAAACACAGATTTGCACCCATTAATTTAAGAAGTTGAAACATAATAACATAGTAATTCAGCCATCATTTATTGAGATAAAATTCCATAACATGTACAGAACCAAACAGCTGCTGTGGTTTTAAGCAACAAATTCTTAAAAGGAGAGATTTGGAAGGTACAATATCAACAAGGATATGTGCAGTTACATGTGTAAACGCCCAAACAAAGCCCATCGGCATCGGGTCCAAGCTGACCTCGGCATAGCCTCATGCAGTATTCATCGTAGCATACCTGGTATGTGGATATTGGCAACACCCTCTGGCATATCCTCCCATCCACACTCCTCACCATCATGTCTTCTCCTACATTCAAAATCCAACATCTTTATGCTCAATAAACACTCTTATAAGTAATGTAAAAAAAAACATATGATCAAAGAAAGTATTACCACTGAGAAGAAGGAAAACAAGAAGAACCATCATGGTTGAAATGGACTTGGAATTCATGTTTCTTTTCTTTACCAATTTGCAAACTCTAAGCTGTGAATTATTGGCTTTGATTAATGGTATTATATACTTGCAAAGAAGTCTGTTTATGGGAAGTTTGGTGATTTTATGGTATGTGTTACAATCTGTTTATGGTTTTGGCTTTTGTATCCTTATTTAAGGTAAGTATTTAATAATAACGGCAGCAAGTTCCAACAAGATAAATTAAATTATGGGTGGTAACCGTGAGGTGTTGGAAAACTGTTTTGTCTTTAGTTTTCAGGTCAAATTCGTATCCATCCATATAAGATATTTGAATGTAAGGAGAAGACCGTTGTTTCCTTTGATTGCCTTTACTCGGGTTCAAGGTCTCTAAATGTAATATTGCATCCCATAATCTCATGAAATAATACGTAAATGTCATGCGATGTGATTGCTATGCTGTTTTCGATGAATTTGTTATGCTTTATATTATGATATGTTATGATGTGATTTATTGATGAGGTGTTTGTAATGTATTATGTGATTATTATGATATAGGCTATAATATGTGCATGATATAAACTGTTATGTTTGCGAGCACGAAAATGTTATGTTATGTTATGACTTATAAGTTGTATGAATGATATGAAAAACGACAAATAGCATGAAATATAACCCCAATGGGTATCCGACATCAACAGCTCACAGAGGAATAGTACGAAAAATGATATGTTAGACGTTACGAGGAATAGTATGAAAACGTTATGCAATGAAATATATGTCAGTGGGATTGTATTCTAGATAGATTTAGGGATCTCATGCATTGAGGGATACCTCTATTCCTTCACGATAGTACAAATGCGTACACGATTATGCAGAAGAACGATCTTTATGTTTAGCATAATGTTGTTGTGATGGTCGCTACTTCTAACGGGTGTCCGGCATCAACAGCTCACAGAGTATGCTCACCCGACCAGAAAGGGACCCAAGAGGCGTGCGAGCCAACTGGTAGGTCCATACTCGCACGTGTGGACCGTGTGTAGGAAAGTAATTACACATCCAAGTTGCTCGTTAGGATAGCCACCTTAGGACAAGAGACTGTTATAATAGGAACCATGCATGCATTTGTATGTCCTTCAATCATAACCACGATAGGGGTCGCTTACTGAGTATTTTTAAAATACTCAAGTCATGTTCTACTACATTTTTCGGGTAAAGGCAAGACGCCCCTGTAAGACTAACGGTGGCATCACAAATCTCGAGATTGTGACACATGCATAAGATAGATTCACATTTAATTTTGGTAGATTATTGAATTTCCATTTAATAGTATAGGTTAGTATGAGTTGAGTTGTATTTCTATTTAGTAGCATATAGGTTAGCCTAAAGCGTTTCATTTTGTATTACTTTTCATTTACTTATTTCCTTTGTATTAATTTATTTTCAAGATAACAAACGAAGCATGCAAGTTTAATGGTGAGGCTATGATAAAATATCATCAGAGTTAACTTTGCATTAAACGTTCATGATGTGTGTACGGTAGCAATCTTAAGTTAAAAGTAAAAAAAAATTAGGGTCTTTACATAGTCACTCACCAAATATTATTAAATACTCCTTTTTTCCATTTTTATAGGTAAAGGAGAGGGGCCTCTTCAAATGACTTTTGTAGGGATCATAGGACAACATTTGCTTCTAAATTGTTTCTTTTTGGGTTGAATAATGTTATATGTTTGATTTGGGTGGTTCACCCTTTTCTGATGTTGTAGATCGACTAAGCGACTAATTCCATCTCTGGAAAGAACTAGCCTTCGTTTCTTTGATTTACAAAGTAGCTTGTTTTATTTATGCAGCGGTAATCGGTAGTCAAAGTTGAAACACTACCTTAAATAACTTGTATGGATAAAGCTTGTTTTTGTATGTCTAGTGTGATAGATGTCTCCACCGCTTGGAATATACTTCTGTGGACGCTAGTCAACATGTGTCTAACCCTTGTTCTTTTTTTTTTTTTTTTTTTAATTTCTTAGTTTTTGCATTCCAAACTATTTTCTTTGCATTCTTTTATCTTTTGATCCTTAACCTAAAACGATTACCTTCTTTCACGAGAGTTGTAGACCTCGTATCCAACAATTTGAAAGTAAATTTTATATAGTTTTTAGTCAACCACATACCTTTAAACACGGAATCTGAGGATTCTTTTCTAGATGAACATTCTCTAATACCAACATTAGCTCTCGAATATTGAAGACAAATTAAGGTCAAATACTCACAAACTAATCTCGTGTTCTTGGTGGAATCAGTCGATCCAAATGTCGAAACATATTATCTTTGATCTAGTGAACAATTCTTTTGGTCTCTTGCCCTCATCCAAACAAGTTCACGACCAAGAAAAGCTAGAGATCCCCTAATTGCTCCCACATGATATTCATATGTGTTAGGATCGACACCAGTTGTTAGCTCTGATACCAATTATTAGGATCGCTCAACAACGCACACACTCGATCAAGATGAACATAAAGAACAGAAGAGAGAAAATATAATGAGGAATATTGGCTAAAGGTTTTATTCTGATGACTTGAGGTATTGTACAACAACCTAAAATAGAGGAAGAGAAGTACAATTTGAGAGCACCAACTAATGGGGTATATATATGGTTTCAATTTACTAAACTTCCAAAGATTTAAACCTACCCAATATAATTCAACAAATATATCTCTATCAAATATATCTTTATCACATCTTTACCAAATCTCTACCATATATATCTCTATCAATCTTTACCAAATATCTTCCAAATATATTTCTACACGAACTAGGCATCAATCTCCATATCCCAACCATGTATACCTCTGAGATCTCTACCCTATTCTTTTAAAAATGGCGATCCATTAGTTTAAGAAGTTGAAACGTAATAACATTGTAATACAACCCTCGTTTATTCAAATGAAATTCCGTACCATGTCGATACATAACTAAACAGCTGTGGTTTTAAACATCAAGTTCTTAAAAGGGGAGATTTGGAAGGTACAAGATCAACAAGGATATGTGCAGTCACATGTGTAAACGCCCAAACAAATTCCAACGGCATCGGGTCCAAGCTGACCTCGGCAATACCTCAAGCAGTATTCATCGTAGCATTCCTGGTATGTGAATATTGGCAACACCCTCCGGCATATCCTCCAATTCCCACTCCTCACCATCATGCCTTCTCCTACATTCAAAATCCAACATCTTTATGCTCAATAAACACTCTTATAAGTAATGTTAAAAAACACAATATGATCAAAGAAAGTATTACCACTGATAAGAAGGAAAACAAGAAGAACCATCATGGTTGAAATGGACTTGGAATTCATGTTTCTTTTCTTTACCAATTTGCAAACTCTAAGCTGTGAATTATTGGCTTTGATTAATGGTATTATATACATAAACAAAGAAGTCTGTTTATGGGAAGTTTGATGATTTTATGGTATGTGTTACAATCTGTTTATGGTTTTGGCTTTCGTATCCTTATTTAAGGTAAGTATTTAATAGTAACGGCAACAAGTTCCAACAAGATAAATTAAATTATGGGTTGTAACCGTCAGCTGTTGGAAAACTGTTTTGTCTTTGGTTTTCAGGTCAAATTCGTATCCATCCATATAAGATATTTGAATATAAGGAGAAGACCGTTGTTTCCTTCGATTGTCTCTACTCGAGTTCAAGGTCTCTCAATGTAATGTTGCATCTCATCTTCTCATGAAATGATACGTAAATATCATGCGATCTGATTGTTATGCTATTTTTTATGAATTTGTTATGCTTTATACTATGATATGTTATGATGTGATTTATTGATGAAGTGTTCGTAATGTATTATGTGATTGTTATGATATAGGCTATGATATGTGCATGATATGAATTGTTATGTCTGCAAGCATGAAAATATTATGTTATGACTTATAAGTTGCATGAATGATGTGATATGATGGACATGTAAAATGACAAATAGTATGAAATACAACTCTGGCATACGCATGAAAGACTGCGATAAATGATATGTTAGACGTTATGAGGAATAGTACGAAAACGTTATGAAATGAAATATATGTAAGTGGGGTTGTATTTTGGATAGATTTATGGATCTCATGGATTGTTGTGTGTTTATGCATTGGGGGATACCTCTCTTCCTTCACGATAGTACGGATGCGTACACGACTAGGCAGAAGAACGATCTTAGCATAATGTTGTTGTGACGGTCGCTACTTCTAATGGGTGTCCGACATCAACAGCTCACAGAGTATGCTCACCCGACCAGAAAGGAGCCCAAGAGGTGTGCGAGCCAATTGGTAGGTCCATACTCACACATGTGGGCCGTGTGTAGGAAAGTAATTACACATCCAAATTGCTCGTTAGGATAGCCACCTTAGGAAAACAGACTGTTATAATAGGAACTATGCATGCATTTGTATGTCCTTGCAGCATAACCATGATAGGGGTCGCTTACTGAATATTTTTAAAATACTCAAGTCATGTTCTATTACATTTTTCGGGTAAAGGCAAGACGCCCCTGTAAAACTAACGGTGGCATCACAAGTCTCGAGTTTGTAACACATGCATAAGATAAATTCACATTTAATTTTGGTAGATTATAGATTAGTATAAGTTCAATTGCATTTTCATTTAATAGTATAGGTTAGTATAAGTTGAGTTTTCATTTAGTAGCATATAGGTTAGCATAGGACGTTTCATTTTGTATTACTCTTCATTTATTTATTTCCTTTGTATTAATTTATTTTCAAGATAATAAACGAAGCATGCAAGTTTAATGGTGAGGCTATGATAAAATAACAATAGAGTTAACTCTACATTAAATGTTCATGATGTGTGTACGGTAGAGTCGTTACAGAGTCACTCACAAAATATTATTAAATACTCATTTTTTCCCAACATTTTTATAGGTAAAGGAGAGGGGTCTATTCAAATGACGACTTTTGTTGTAGGGATCATAGAACAACATTTGCTTCTAAATTGTTTCTTTTTGTGTTGAATAATGTTATATGTTTGATTTGGAGGGGTGATTGTAAGGATTCGAATTTTTATTTTATTTATTTTAGATTTTATGCCTAAGATTTTATTTTTACTGCCAAAACAAAAAGATATTATGCTACATTTATTGTTGCCGGAAAAGAGTATGATTTATAGGAGGAAATTACTGCCTTAATGGAAAAAGTCATAAAGACCTTTTTTTTATTCCCATACACAACTCTCCTCCTTCCTTGGAAACAACTTTGGCTCTCCAAACGTTTAGGATTTTCGAGGGTGTCTGAGAGTACGGAAAAATCGAGAGGGTTAGCCAGAAAAAACGTGTGAGGTGGTTCGCTGGATTTTCTTCGGTGAGTGGCCGGAGGGAGAACGTGTGAGGTGGTTCGCTGGATTTTCTTCGGGGAGTGGCCGGAGGGAGAAGCAACCGAGGCTATCGGTGTTGAATATCGTTGCGCGTTGGTCGGAATAGGCGGGGGGTGTCGCCGCATCGTCGGAATCGGGGTTGTGACGTCGCCGTTGGCGGCGCAGCGACGATTAGGGTTTTCGTGAGATTTCAAAGAAGACGAAGGAAAACGGGTCGGGTTCACGTTCGGCCTCTGGACCAGCCCACGGGACGAACGCGGGCTCTGTGCGTTTCGGCCCAACGCGGACGCGCGCTGCAGCCTTGGTCTCGGCTCCGCACGCGTGCTCTCGGCTCGGCTTGACGTGTACGGCGGCTCGGCTCCGTCAAATCCCGCAGCTCAGCTCGGCGGCTTAATAGGTCGGCTCGGCAGCTCAGCTTGGTGAATCGGTATCACTATAATATATCGATTCCAAGGTTTTTGGCCCTTCCGAAGCCGTTTCTGCCCTTAGTTTTACCATCCGAGGTCAGTATGGCTCCTAAACGTTAAAGACAGATTTGGTCGAGAGTTTATTTTGATAAATAGCATGAGGTTTAGCTAGGGTACCTTATGAAAGGTTCTAAATTTTTATGTGGTTATCATAGGACATATTTAACCACTGGGATTAGCTCGTCGTGAGTGACTTCAACGAAGACCATGAGGTAAGTGACCTTACTGTTGGAGTTAGCTTTCTACGTGTTGTATGATGGTGCGTGCCCTGTGGCCCCTGCATGCACCATATTTTATGTGATATGATTATGTGATGTATAGATTTTGTCGACCGTAGATTGTGCATGTTATGTGAAGTATGAACTTGTGTTGACGGTTGACTGTTTATGTTATGTCATGAATGAGATGTTAGTATTATATGCCATGAATATGTTGATTGATGTCATAGATACACGTAGAATTATCGAGTCATGTCATGAGATGTTTATGCAACTGGAATGTTTATGTAATATGCCATGTAAAGTCATGTGAGATGCCATGTGATGTAAGAAACGTAAATGCGATGTTAGCACTGCTTATGTAATGCCATGTTAGATATGCTAAGGGACCTCATGCATATATGTATGTCACGTGCATCGGGATTCTTCCCCTTTATGATACGAAAGAATGAAATACGATATTTATGTTCGCCATGACATCATGCGGGCCCTTTTCTATTCTGTGGTGTCCGGCTACGTGTAACACGTTGTGCCCGACCAAGTCAGGCCCAGGGGGTACGTATAAGAGCCTGCCTGGTGGGTTCATGTACACGTACATGGGCCATGTGTGAAGGAGTACCACACATCCAACCCTACCCGGAATAGAAAAGCGCCCAAGGCTATGAAAAGTTTATGAAAAGTCAGGTCCCGCTCATATATTGCATGTGTTTGCATTCCTAACCCCAACAGTGGGGTGACTTATTGAGTATTTCATAAAATACTCAAGCCACGTGCTACCTACATTTTTCAGGTAAAGGCAAGGCGCCAATGTACGGTTGACGGTGGAGCTGAGGCCACCATGGAAGTTGGAGACGTGATATTTTTAGGAGTTTACTTTCATTAGATTGTTTTAAGTTATAGGATTGAGTATCGTTTTATTTGGATTTATTTTGAATTCAGTATTAAAGGTTCATTTTCGGAGTTTAGGTTTTGTTTTGGATTCATGAATTTTTAGGAAAGACTATTTCAAGGTTATTCATGATGAGCTTCTGCTTAATGAGATAAGTATGCATGGGTGACGTCACTAATTAGGTTAAAGAAAATTAGGGGCGTTACAGTGATTCACCCTTTTCTAATGTTGTAGATCGACTAAGCGACTAATTCCATCTCTAGAATGAACTAGCCTTCATTTACAGTAGCTTGTCTAGTAGCCAAAGTTGAGACACTACCTTAAATAACTTATATGGATAAAGCGTGTTTTTGCATATCTAGTGTGCTGGATGTCTCCACTGGTTGGAATACACTTCTGTCGACACTAGTCAACACGTGTCTAACCTTTGTTCTTCCATTTCTTGCTTTTTTTTTTCTTTTTTTCAAAATTTCTTAGTTTTTGCATTCCAAACCATTTTCTTTGCATTTTTTTATTTTTTGATTCTTAACCTGAAACGATTAGCTTCCTTCACGAGAGTTGTAGACCTCACATCCAACAATTTGAAAGTAAATTTTATATAACTTTTAGTCAACCACCTACCTTAATAAGCACATTGAATACTAAAAATTGAGTCCTTGACACAGAATCTGAGGATTCTTTCCTAGATGAACATTCTCTAATACCAACATTAGCTCTCGAATTTTGAAGACAAATTAAGGTCAAATACTCACAAACTAATCTCGTGTTGTTAAGGATATTTAGTAATATATTATAGTTTACCACATAATCATATTTGATATTTTAGATATTTGCCTTCTACCTTAGGTATCTTTCCATTTATTGTTATTTTTGTTTATTACTCTTTTCATATCCTTGTAATTTATTTTATTATAAATAAGATAACTTTCACACTATTTAAGGGCGGTTGATTAAGCAAATATTCTCATGGTATAGAGCTCTTTCGGTTTAGCAACCATGATCCTTTCTTTTCAATGGCTTCTGAATCCCCTACTCATCTTCTTTTTCACCACCCTGCTGGCTTTGATGCTGCAGGGGCAGTCTCCATTACTGCCACATGCAGAGCGATTGATTACTCTTCGGCTCCACCCTTTTGACTTCTAAATCACCATTCGCCATACTTTGTACATACAACCTCATCTTTTCCAACACAATCGATTTTCTCTCAACCAACATAGTCTCTTTCATTTTCTTCCCAATCTTCCCTTCATCCTTCACAGAAACTCTAACCTAAACCTGTCAACCTTTGCAGAGATTTACCTTTGGAATCTGGGCGCCGCATTGGCCTCTTCGCCAACCAAGTCGTCGCTGCTCTTCTAGCCAAAATTGGCTCCTTCGCCCAATATGGCAACTCTTCAAGTTTCAACATTGTCTTTGTCCCTTTCTCTAGGTTTCCCCTTCTACTTCTTGGGTTGACATATTCTCACCAGAGCCAAGGCAGCATCGTCGGTAAGCGACGATCCCTCTTCATGGGTTAGACATATTCTCGCCGAAGCCAAGGCAGCATCGCTGCAAAGCGACGATCCCTCTCCAGTTTTCGATGGCCAAGAAAGTGTTTATCTACGCTTCCTCTGAACCAGGTCGTTGACATCTTCACGAAAATTGTTTCTCAACCTCTCTTTGAATTTTTCATATCCAAGCTTCACGTTCGTTCAAATCCGACGCTCAGCTTGTGGTGGGGTGTTAAGGATATTTAGTAATAAATTATAGTTTACCATATATATCATATTTTATTACAAGGCAAATATCTAGATATTTGCTTTCTTACATTAGTATCTTTTCATGTATTGTTATTTCCGTTTATATCTTTTTCCATATCCTTGTAATTTATTTTATTATAAAAAAGATATACACCATTTAAGTGTGGTGGATTAAGCAAACATTCTCACGTGTTCTTGGTCGTTTCTTGATGGAATCAGTCTATCCAAATGCCGAAACCTATTATCTTTGATCTAGTGAACAATTCTTTTGGTCTCTTGCCCTCATCCAAACAAGTTCACGACCAAGAAAAGCTAGAGATCCCCTAATTGCTCCCACATGATATTCATATGGTATCCTAAGAGCTCTACCCTATTCTTTTAAAAATGGCGATCCATTAGTTTAAGAAGTTGAAACGTAATAACATTATAATACCGCCCTCGTTTATTCGAATGAAATTCCATAACATGTCGATACATAACTAACGGTCTTAAGCATCAAATTCTCAAAAGGAGAGATTTGGAAGGTACAAGATCAACAAGGATATGTGCAGTTACATGTGTAAACGCCCAAACAAAGTCCATCAGCATCGGGTCCAAGCTGACCTCGGCATAACCTCATGCAGTATTCATCGTAGCATACCTGGTATGTGGATATTGGCAACACCCTCTGGCATATCCTCCCATCCACACTCCTCACCATCATGTCTTCTCCTACATTCAAAATCCAACATCTTTATGCTCAATAAACACTCTTATAAGTAATGTTAAAAAAAAATATATGATCAAAGAAAGTATTACCACTGAGAACAAGGAAAACAAGAAGAACCATCATGGTTGAAATGGACCTTGAATTCATGTTTCTTTTCTTTACCAATTTGCAAACTCTAAGCTGTGAATTATTGGCTTTGATTAATGGTATTATATACATAAACAAAGAAGTCTGTTTATGGGAAGTTGGGTGATTTTATGGTATGTGTTACAATCTGTTTATGGTTTTGGCTTTTGTGTCCTTATTTAAGGTAAGTATTTAATAATAACGGCAGCAAGTTCCAACAAGATAAATTAAATTATGGGTTGTAACCGTGAGGTGTTGGAAAACTGTTTTGTCTGTGGTTTTCAGGTCAAATTCGTATCCATCCATATAAGATATTTGAATGTAAGGAGAAGACCATTGTTTCCTTTGATTGCCTATACTCGGGTTCAAGGTCTCTCAATGTAATGTTGTATCTCATCTTCTCATGAAATAATACGTAAATGTCATGCGATGTGATTGTTATACTGTTTTCGATGAATTTATTATGCTTTATGTTGTGATATGTTATGATGTGATTTATTGATGATGTGTTCGTAATGTATTATGTGATTGTTATGATATAAGCTATGATATGTGCATGATCTGAACTATTATGTCTGCAAGCACGAAAATGTTATGTTATGACTTATAAGTAGCATGAATGATATGATATGATTGACATGTAAAATGACAAATAGCATGAAATACAACTTCGGCATATGCATGAAAGACTGCAATAAATGATATGTTAGACGTTAGGAGGAGTAGTACGAAAATGTTATGAAATGAAATATATGTTAGTGGGGTTGTATTTCTGGATAGATTTAGGGATCTCATGGATTGTTGTGTGTTTATGCATTGAGGGATACCTCTGTTCCTTCATGATAGTACGAACGAGTATACGACTAGGCAGAAGAATGATCATTACGTTTAGCATAATGTTGTTGTGACGGTCACTACTTCTAATGGGTGTCCGGTATTAACAGCTCACAGAGTATGCTCACCCGACCAGAAAGGAGCCCAAGAGGTGTGCGAACCAATTGGTGGGCCATATTCACACGTGTGGGCCGTGTGTAGGAAAGTAATTACACATCCAAGTTGCTCGTTAGGATAGTTGCCGTAGAAAACAGACTGTTATGATAGGAACCATGCATGCATTTGTATGTCTTTGCATCATAACCCCGATAGGGGGTTGCTTACTGGTATTTTTAAAATACTCAAGTTATGTTCTACTATATTTTTCGGATAAAGGCAAGACGTTTTTGTAAGACTGACGGTGGCATTGCAAATCTCAAGAATGTGGCACATGCATAGGATAGATTCACATTTAATTTTAGTAGATTATAGATTAAAATAGGTTAAATTGAATTTCCATGAAATAATATAGGTTAGTATAGGTTGAGTTGTATTTCTAGCATATAGGTTAGTATAGGTCGTTTCATTTTGTATTACTGTTCATTTATTTATTTCCTTGGTATTAGTTTATTCTCAAGATAAAAACGAAGCATGCAAGTTTAATGTTGAGGCTATGATAAAATATCAATAGAGTTAATTCTGCATTAACTGTTCATGATGTGTGTACGGTAACGACCTTAGGTAAAATAGAAAAATTTAGGTCGCTAGAGAGCCACCCACCAAGTATTATTAAATACTCATTTTTTTCCAACATTTTTATAGGTAAAGAAAAGGGGCCTCTAGACAAATGACGACTTCTGCAGTAGAGTTCATAGAATAATGTTATATGTTTGATTTGGAGGAGGCGATTAATTCCATCTCTGGAATGAACTAGCTTTCGTTTCTTTGACTTAGGATAGTTTGCTTTGCTTATGCAGCAAGTAATCGGTAGCCAAACTTGAGGAACTACCTTAAATAACTTATATGGATAAGCGTGTTTTTGCATGTCTCTGCTATGCGTGTGACGGATGTCTCCACTGGGTGGTATACACTTCTGACGGCGCTAGTCAACACGTGTCTAATCCTTGTTCTTCCATTTCTTACCTTTTTTTTTCTTAGTTTTTGCATTCCAAACTATTTTCATTGCATTCTTTTATCTTTTGATTCTTAACCCGAAACGATTATCTTTCTTCACGAGAGTTGACCTCATATCCAACAATTTGAAAGTAAATTTTATATAATTTTTAGTCAACCACATACCTTAATAAGCCCATTGAAACTTTGAAAAATATTTATTGTTACCAAAAATTAATTGAGACCTTAACACGGAATCTACGAGGATTCTTTCCTAGATGAACATTCTCTAATACCAACATTATCTCTCGAATCTTGAAGTCAAATTAAGGTCAAATACTAACAAACTAATCTCGTGCTCTTGGTCGTTTCTTGGTGGAATCGGTCAATCCAAATGCCAAAACCTACCATCTTTGATCAAGTGAACAATTCTTTTGGTCTCATTCCCTCATCCAAACAAGTTCACAACCAAGAAAAGCTAGAGATCCCCTAATTACTCCCACATGACATTCATATAGTACCGTAAGGTTCATACCTCGAGAGCTCTACCCTATTCTTTTAAAAATGGTGATCCATTAGTTTAAGAAGTTAAAACGTAATAACATTATATACAACCATCGTTTATTCGTATGAAAGTCGATACATAACTAAACAGCTGTTGTGGTTTTAAACATGAGAATTTGAAAGGTACAAATCAACAAGGATATGTACA